TAAGATAATTAAACAAGTCTATGTTGCAGAGGTGCTTAAAGTCAGATAACTCAAGTTAGGGTTCAAAATAGTCATTTGGGGACCAGGTGCAAAGGCCTGTAATCCTAGCTCTTTGGAGACCAGCCTGGGCAACATAGCGAGATCCCATCACAAAAAAAAAAACATTTAATTAGTCAGGCATGGGAGTGTGTACCTGTAGTCCCAGCTACTCAGGAGGCTGAGAGGGGAGGATTACTGCAGCCCAGGAGTTTGAGACTGTAGTCATCTGCAATCATGCCACTGCACTCCAGCTTGGGTGACAGAGTGAGACCTTGGTCTCAAGAAATAAAATTGTCATTTAGAAGATTTCTGAGTGACTTATATATAGATTTTTTAAAGTTAAATGGCTTAGGCTAAACTTTTTTCCCCATGAATTTCTTCCCCCACTTTCATCTAAGTCCTTAGGCTTTACCCTTGATAAACTAGAGAGCATTTCCAACAGTGTTTGTTACAGTTCTTGCGAAGTAGTAAGTTGGGTCCTGGTGAAAAGCATCCATAGGAATGTAAAGGAGTGGGACAGGTTTGGAGGACCCTGAGTCATGGGGTACTCCCTTTAGGAAAAAACAAACAGTATGCAAGGAAAGAGGCCTTGGACAGGGCTGTGAAGGGAGCCTGGAGCTTCATTGGTTTCCTGGGAAACCCACCCTCAGGTCTGCAATCTTTATTTTGATTCAACAAAGTGATGTTTGCAGCTGAAAGTTGCAGAAGGTACATCAAACTCCTTATGAGCCGGGCTCGGAGGCTCAGCCTGTAATCCCGCGCCTTTGGGAGGCTGAGGTGAGTGGATTGCCTGAGCCCATGAGTTCGAGACCCGCCTGGGCAGCGAGACCTCATCTCTACAATAAATCAAAAACTCAGCCGGGCATGGTAGCGCATGCCTATAATTCTGGCTACTCGGAAGGCTGAGGTGGAAGGATCGCCGGAGCCCAGCAGGTCGAGGCTGCGGTGGCCGGGAGCGGCCATTGCACTCCAGTCTGGGCGACAGAGTGAGACTCCAACTCAAAAAAAAAAGAAAAAACTCCTTATGGACCCTCCAGTGACCATGAGCTCTCAGGAACTCAACTCATCACTGCTGACAGCCGCCGTGTCCCAGGAGGTTCCCACAGATGCCCTGAGCTCTTTGCAGGATGAGGTGGGAGAGAGGGGATAAGGGAAGAGGTGAAGGGGGAGTGCAGAGTAGAAGAATGAACAAGAGAGGGAGGGAGAAAAGGGGGGGCACACCTGTCCCTAGAGAGGGAGGGAGAAAGAGACAGAGAAACAGAGAGAGAGAGACAGAGGGAGTAGGGCCCACCTGTCCTCAGAGAGGGAGAGAGAAAGAGAAAGAGATCATTAGAGAGGGCCCACCTGTCCCCAAGAGGGAGGGAGAAAGAGACAGAGAGAGAGACAGAGAAAGACAGAGACCGAGAGAGAGACAGAGAGACAAAGACAGAGTGAGAAGGGCCCACCTGTGCTCAGAGAGACAGAGAGAAAGAGAGAGAGAGACGGAGAGAGTGGGGAAGGGCCCACCTGTCCCCAGCGAAGGAGGGAGAAAGAGACAGTTTGGGAGAAGAGCCCACCCCTGCCCTTGGGCTCATACCGGTGACCTTGAACATGTCTTCCATTCTATCCTCTAACATATTTGTCTAGGAGTATGAAAGAGCCAGTCAGAAGTAGTTGGGCTGATCCCTAAAATAGAATTTGCCAATTAGTTTTCAATAGAAAAGGCTCTCTTCAGGTCACCAGAGGCAAGCAAATCTAATTTACAATTTTCTCATCCCTGAGAGCTGGGGCATTGTTAGGAGGAGGAAGGGCTGCAGCAGGGTGGCTGAGAGCTGGGGGCCATGGTCCGGGCAGGGCCCACCTGGGGGTCCCAAGCATCTCTGCCTGGGTCCCCTGGCAGGGCTGCCCTCTGAGGTGCTCTGAGCTCAGGAGATTGGAGTGTCGCAGCTGCTCAGCTGTCTCCGTCAGTACGAATACTAAGTGATGAGGTTCATAGAACATTCTTTGCAAAGCACTGCCTATCCAAACCCTGGCATCATTTTCAGAGATGAAAGTTTCATCTCTGAAGCCACTCTTCCTCCACCGCTGGCCTGTCAAGACTGAGCCGCGGCCTGAGTGGAGCTGACAGCCTTGCAGAGTGCCTGCGGCCACAGCTGTCTATGACCTGACAGCCCAGCTGCCCAGCACCATCACTCCTCCCCAGAAGGGACACGCACCTGAGCAGAAATTCCTGCAACGAGAGAGAAGGTGACTTGATGCTTACCTCACAGCTTGGAGGAACACAGTTCTGGCTGTGTCACTTAGGTGACCAGTGGAAAAACGAATGCACCAAAAGGACTGTTAATGCTTCACCGCCAGCCCCTTCCAAGTACTATTTATTTGTTTGTTTGTTTGTTTGTTTTTATTTTGGAGAAGGGTCTCACTCTGTCATCCAGGCTGGAGTTCAGTGGTGTGATCATAGCTCACGGCAACCTCAAACTCCTAGGGAATCCTCCTGCCTCAGCCTCCTGAGCATGTACCATCACACCAGGCTGACTTTTGTTTTGAGTAGAGACAGTGTCTTGCTATGCTGCCCAGGTTGGTCTTGAACTCCTGGCTTCAGGTGATTCTTCTGCCTCGGCCTCCCAAAGACCTGGCATTACAGGTGTAAGCTACTGCACCTAACCCCAAGTAGTTTTTAATGGTCTTTCATTTCCTTCAAATAGATTCTCCTGTCCTGACCCCCAGCTCTGATTCTTCCCCAGCTCCCCAATGCTCTGGAGTTCTGTTCACCGAGATGAAGTGATGGTAAAGCATGGCTCTTTCCTGAGATTTGCTTTTTCTCCTTTAAGTGCCAGCCAAGAGACAAGCTTCTCTTCTAGGCTGGGGTGACAGGTAGGGGATGGCTACCATGTATGATTTTAAGACAAGCCCATGAGGCTAGGAAGGAGAGCACTGAAGCCCAAGGAATTGCAGCTCCTGGCAAACTCTCTCCCCTTCCCCCCCCCTCGATTTTTTTCTTTTTTGAGTTGGGGTCTCACTCTCTCACCCAGGCTGGAGTGCACTGGCATGATCATGATGATTATGGCTCACAGTAGCCTCGATCTTCTAGGCTCGGGCTGAGACTACAGGTGCACACCACCATGCCAGCTAAATTTTTTTAATTTTTTGAAGTGATAAAGTCTCTCTTTGTTGCCCAGGCTGGTCTCAAACTCCTGGGCTCAAGCAATCTGCCTGCCTCGGCCTCCCAAAGTGCTGGGATTACAGGCATGCATGGCCTTCCTTCCCTTTCAGATTGTGCTTTGCAGGTTCCTTTGCATTGTTGTGTGACTGCAGGAGTGTGAGCAACACCATTTCTGGGTGTGCCTCTCAGGGAGAGGTCGGAGCACCTCAGACTCAAAGTTATTGGTAGGCAGTAACTCCAGACTTCTGAGAAAGAGGTGGGAATCATAAGCTAAGTAACACTTATTAAGCACCTACTGTGTGTCAAATGTGCAGTGGTTAAAAGAGGTTTGTCTCTGCTTCAAATCCTGGGTCTATCCCTTACATTCATCGGTAAGGTTTTGAGCAAACCCCCCAGGCCACCTGGGCCTCAGGGTCTTCATTTGTAAAGAAGGAAAGCATGCTTGTTCTAAGAACTTCTGAAGAAACGGAGTGGAGCACCCTCAGCCAACAGCCTGAATGATGCTCACTTCCCATCCGTAGCTGTTCCTCCCGCTTCCTATAGAAACACCACTTCTGACACTCACTGAGGACTGCACAAGCTCTAGTTCATGACTGTCAAGTCCTGGGAAGTCTCTCCCAGCTGTTCTGAAACTTGCCCATGGTTCACAGAGAGGGTGTGCAGAGCTATCAGAAATCCTCATGCCATAGGCCATGGTGGCTGTGCCCAGAGAGTGAAGTGAGACAGAGGATGTGAGGTAGTTGTCATGTGACTTCAGAACACCTGAAAGAAAAGGGGACGTCTTCCCAAATTAGCAAACCACAGAGGCTCACTGGATGGTTCTGGAGGCTAATGGAAATTTGGCAGCAGGAAACTCGGCTTTTACGGAACAGTCTGATCAGACTCTCAAGGACTTCTGTTACCCCTATACATATTTTTTCTTTTTGTGGTAAAATACGCACAACCCAAAATGTACCATTTTAAGCATGCAGCTCAATGGGTTTTAAGTCACATTCGTGTGGTTCTGCAGCCATCACTGCCGTCCATCTCCAGAACGTTTCCATCTTCCCCAACTGAAACTCTGTTAAGCACTAACTCCCGTTTCTCCCTCCCCCAGTCCCTGGCAACCACCACTCTACCTTGTCCTTAAGAATCTGCCTAGGCCAGGGACCTTGTGTCATTGGGGTCACACAATTTGTCTGTAATTGGCTCATTTCTTCACTCAGCAAATCCGCAAGGTGCATCCCATAGGAGCCTGTGTCAAAAGCGCTTTCCTTTTGGTGTTCAGTCCTACTCCATCGTATGTACATACCCCATGCTGCTTATCCATCCATCCATCAGTGGACACTGTGCTGTTTCCACCCTTTGACTCACGATGAATAATGTTGCTATGATGCAGGTGGATACGCTCTTGTATTTTTAAAACAATATGGTAAACAAAATGGCTTTCAGCACGCAAGAAAGTGACCACTGTGAGTGGTAAAAGCCCATGACTCTGTCCATGGGATTTTTTTAAAAATTATGCTTATTAAATTGAGAAACAAGCTCACCAGCATGGCAGCCTATGGTAGCCTCTTTGGAGGCCATCGGGGCACTCGTGGGCGATTGTTAGAGCAGGTTACTTGGGTGCTGGGTGCTGGTGTTTGCCAGGTGCTGGGTGCCCCTCCAGGTGGAGCTAGACTATTGCTCACACTCCCTGCCTCTGACTGACTGAGGTGTCACTAACGGTCTCTCTCTTCTCGCACCCCGCCCTCCCTCCACCCCCATCCCTGTGCCCGCCCCCTTCCACTCCTGCCCACCTGTCTCCGCCTTCTCTTTGCCGGCTCCTCCCACTCTCCAGTGCGACCAAGACCAGTGCATTCAGAGCACCAAATTCGTTTTGCAGGCCGCAGCCACGCCCCTGCTGCAGAGCGAGCCCAGCCTCACCAGCGACGAGCTGCACCTGCCCGGGAAGCCCGGCCTGGGCACGCCCTGTGCCAGCCTGACGATGGGCCCGCCCACGCCCCCCTCGTCCATGCCCAACCTGGCCACCGAGGCCACGCTCGCGGACGTGATGCCCCGGAAAGACGAGCACATGGGCCACCAGTTCCTGACCCCGGATGAGGCGCCGTCGCCCCCCAGGCTGCTGGCGGCGGGCAGCCCCTTGGCACACAGCCGCACCATGCACGTGCTGGGCCTGGCCAGCCAGGATTCCCTGCACGAGGACTCCGTGCGTGGCCTGGTGAAGCTCAGCTCCGTGTGACCCGCGTGGACCCCCGGCCTGGGGTCCACAGGGCCCTTCTGCAGGCGGCGGAAGACAGCAGAGGGGGGTGCCCGGCAGCGACTTGCTCCCCATCGAGTGCAAGGGTGCAGACGACAGCCGCAGGCCTGGGGTGCAAAGACCACTAGGGATGGGTGGATCTCTGTCAGAAGGCAGAGGGTAGCCGGACCTGGGTGCTCAGAGCTTGGTTTTATTTGAATGTTCTTCCCCACCGTGAGCGCTCTGACAAAAATGAAAACAGAAGAAGCCGCTTTCATATTTGGAACCTGAAGGGGGGGCCAAGGAGGGGAGGGTCTCCGGGGGTCAGAATCAGAGTCTGGGAAGAACAGATTTGCCTGGGTGCTCTGCTGTCCGTCTGCCCCTCCTGTGACAGACACACAGAAGGTTTCTGACGCTTGTGGCCAGACTGGAATTGCACTTGTGTTATGCTACTAATAATTGAAATAGACATGCCATTCCATTTGTTAATTAAAAAACAAAATCCTAAAGGGAAAAAAACGACCAGATGTGGATTTGCATGCCACGCTGCCATCTGTGATCTCCAAGGAAGTGCTGCTTTCTTTCTCTTTTCTTTCTTTCTTTTTTTTATTTTGTAACTTTTCAAGTGCTGTTTTGTTGGAAGACAGTACAACAAACTGAAACTGATGGACAATGTCATCTCTCGTCAGCCTATCTGGCTTGGGTATACAGAGAGGTGGCCCTGGGCTGCAGAGGGCGGCTGGGGTTCCATCGTGCCTGGTGTCATTTTCCGTCTGCTGGCAGTGAGCTGAGTGAGGTGTTGTGTTGTGCCACCCACCACAGTCTACACCTCCTTATGTGATGAAACTTCCCGTGGACAGCCAATAAAATGACGTCCTCTGTTATGCTGGATCTGCGTACAGTTATCCTTAGCAAGTCAAAAGAAAAAAATCACCGGGAAGGTCTGGTGAGTCAGTTTGTATTGAAGTGTGCTTAGCGAGGAGGGTTCCAGAACAACCAAAAATCTCATCTTTGAATTGGGAGGTATTTATAGGATGACTTTTTTAGACAGGTGACTAGCTTTCCATTTTTCTCTCTCTCTTTTTTTTTTTCCTTTAATCATTTCTTTTGAACACAGTCTTAGCGGAATTTGCTTTACATTTGCAGATGTCCATGCAGTGTCTGTGGTAGATAAAGGGGAGGGGTATTCAGGGAGAGGGGAGAGAGGGACACTGTCAGGCTGGCTTCTGGGCTCCACAGTGTCACCGAACCTTTCAGAAGCACAACTTGAGGTCCTGGTAAAGGTATCAAAAAACCAGGAGGAGAAACCGGCTTAAAGTCTGGACTGAAATCCTGGAGAGCGTCGTCCTTACCATGACGCTAATCAGGATGGAATTAAGAAAATTACCACTTCACTCACATTCATTCCTCACCTAGAAGGGAACTAACTGGCTCTGGACTTAGGGAGTGAGTCATTTTGGAGGCAGCTGCAGGGAACACAGCATCCTCTTTTCTGGCTTCTTTCCAGATGATAAAGCTAAGAGCCAAATCTACTCATGTTCAAAACCATGCTCTTGCTCCTTATAACCTTATAACCTTATAAAATGCAAGACAAGATTCATTGATCATTGATGCAAGAAACCCCAAGCAATTTGCATTTATGGAAAAAGGAGATTTCTCCTGAGAAAGAGTTGCCATTTTATATCAAAGGAAAGGAAGAAGAAAAGAACAAGAAAAGCACAATTTTCGAGTTTTATTTGGAAAAAAGGCATTTCACAGGTAGGAAAATAATTCGTGTTGAAAAGACCTGCAGAATTCTTGCATCACAATGTCTTTGTGCCATCTTTATTCTTCATTACTGAATACACATATAGGAAGCAGAAAAGGGAAATATCATGTAGCTATTTTGGATTTTCTGGACCACCTACAACTTGTACCCACTTGTGGTTTATAATAAGTGGGACAGAGCCCTCCTTACACAACCACACACGCTCACTAACTCACAGGCTTTTCCTCACACACACTGAGTGACAGCCCAACAAAGGAGCTTCCCTAGCTCCCCAAGCTGGCTCTGCTCCGTCTCCTCCCACCTGAAAAGAAGGGTGCTCAGTGGGTGACAGCAAACCAGGCTCAGCCCCCACTCCAGTAGCATGTGTGACCCAATCCATTCTCACCTTCTTCCACTGGGAGACAAGGACAAGGGTCTCCAGAGCCCTCCACTTCCAACGTTCCCTAACTCAGTGGTTGCTGGTATCCTTCGACCAGCCCTTCTTCCCACCTCATTATGAAAAAACCCAAGAAGCAAGAATCATTCCTGTCTTGTCTTCATATCATGAATATTTGCTTCATATTTATTGTCAATTTTCCCACCCCAGCCCCACCCCCTGGATGCACTTGGCAGCATTTTTCCAAGAGGGGGTTGAGAATTTTGGTGAAATAAATCAAGACTATTCAGAGTCAAGAGGGAGGTTAACTTGAATGGGCCAATTTTTTAAGACAATTAAAGTCTTAAACCAAAACAGGAGAGAGGCCCACAGCCCTGTCCTCTGTGACTTGGGGAAGAAAATCAAGAATCTGAGGAATACGTAACTGTGCTCCCCAGGGCTCCCCACTTCTGTTGTGCTGGAAGGATGATTTGTGAGGTCCAGTGAGATGATGTTTCTGCACCTCCCATTAGAATATATGTATATATATGTATATGTTTTATATATATTATATATGCTATATATAATGTATATGATATATGTATATATATGCTGTATATAATGTATATGATATATATGTAGAGAGAGATAGATATATAGATGTTGAATGGTTCCATCCAGCTGTGGCTGAGTACACCTTGGTATTTCTAAATTTTTTGGTGTATTACCGATGGATTGCATGCTAGCTATAAAAAATAGGATAAATATTTTACCATGCTATTAAAGCTTGGACTATTATCAAACACACACACACACACACACACACACACACACACACACACACACACACTCATTCTGTTGTTTTAAAATCTGTCTGCTTTGATTCTCCTAGGAGTGCCCCAGGGACCACAGCCTTCACATCACTCAAAAGCTGAACTAGGCCTGAGTGCCCTGGTCCCCAGGAAGCAGGCAAATGGGGCAGGAGGGTGGCAGACAGCTTGCATCTGGGAGGGCACGATGTCATGTCACTGTGCCTGGGGAATCTACCCAGCATTTGTGCCATGCCCGGTTGAAAGATGCTCACTCCAGCTTTCGAATATGATTATCTCAACCCGGGACAGCGATGCCAGATCCCCACCCTGTGCCACCAAAATGCCGGATAGCTGTTCTGGCCTGTACTGGCACAAAAGAGGAGTCTTTCCAGAGCCCATCTACTCCCCAAGTGCACTCCGGTCTTCATGGTTACATCTAGGCTGGCTGGGGTTCCAAAGGACAAGCAAACCCCATTTCACAAGCTATGTTCCTGCTGAGACCTGATGGGTCTGGCACTCCGTGGCTTTGGAAGCCTCTAAGCCTTCACGCCCTGAGCCCAGGTCTGAGTCAGGGGCAAGAAAAAGGAATTCATCAGCATTGGCAGTAGGTGTCCTTGTCACTGGGGCTTTGATGGCACTCACCGGTAAAAGCTGGAACCTGAATGGGTCAGAGGCTCTGAAGGGCACAGCCTGGTAAGCCACTCCCTGAGGGTCTTGCCCCCCCCACAGAAGATGTCTCTTTGTGACTTGACTGCCCCTTTCCCAGCTCAGCCCACAACCAGCCTCTTCGTGCCGGGAATCAACGACCTCGGCCTCGGCCCTGACGCAGGGTTTTGATTTCGTTGGAAGGAATGAGGGGTCTGCATTCATAGCATAAGAAATCTTCCTGAAGGTCGCTGTCTTTTGTCCATCCACAAGAGTACGCTGTTTAGCCCATTTGGTCCTGGACCAGGTAAGAAGGAAATAAAGGAGAACAAATGTTAAACACACCTTTTTAACGAATGCCTTACAGCTGTCCTGAAGCTGAGCCTAAGTCCAATCAATGTTTACATTTTTTTATTAAATATGTATGAGCTGTGGGAGTCTAGCACATTCTTGTCCAAAAGAGAGAGACTTTCAAATGAATTCTTGTTCCTCCTGGTCCCCTCCACCTATTCTGCTATTCTGGAGGTCTGTATATGGCGTTGGACGCCGTTATCCATGGTCCTCATTAAAACCAGTCTCTCATCTGTTCCCTTGAAATGTCTGTCTCTCTCTCTCTCTCTCTCTCTCTCTCTCTCTCTCACTCTCACTCTCTCTCCCCCCCGTCTCTTTCTCTCTCTCTGTGTATGTGTGTGTCTCCCTCTCTCTCTCTCTTTCTCTGTATCTGTCAGTCTCTGTCTCTCTGTCTCTTTGTCTCTCCCTATCCCTCCCTCTCTGTCTGTCTCACTTTGTCTTTCTCTCTATCTCTGTTCATATCCATCTTTATCTCCCCCCTCCTTATCTTCTAAGAATAAGTTATCATTGAAATAGTAAATGATCTGAAGCATCGTTTTCTTTCAAATAAATGTCAAAGATGCTAATTGTTTTGTAAATCAGTAAATCCTCTATCCATTTCCCTGCTGTACATGGTCCTGATAATATAGCCAAGATGGATTTTCACCTCTAAGTGGGCAGTACATTAATCCAACCATTAAAAATAATTGGGAGATTGAAGATTAGATTGTTTCTGGAGCAACCGAATTTGCAGCTGCCACAAAACTAGATAAATGGCTTCAACTGGAATTATTTTTTGATCTCATAAACCCCAGGAATTACACACAGAATGGATTGGGAAGCAGATGAGTATCTTGCATTATTGCAAAGACTGTTCTTTCCAGCAATTGTTGACTTGGTGTTGATGATAAAGCTGTAAATGAACGGTCTTAATTACCCTCGATATTTTAAGATGCATAATGAAACTATGAGGTCACATGGCATATCCAAGGAGACATGTTTTCTGTGTTCTATATAAATGGAGATGGTTTTAGTGCAGAAAAAGAAGGGTTGAAACCTTGCCAACCTTTTGCCCAGATCGTTCTGGGTTGGTATTTCATAGTAGTAAAACATTTTTGCATGAATAAAAGAGCATTTTAAACTCTTAGTGGATTCAAAGCCCTAACTCTGAACAATGGTGAACACATGTACATAACATTTCATGTTTCCAGAGATATGTATGCTTATTTAAGTGCCTTTCATGTTTTAATCAATGTTTGCAGAGTTTATCTTAAACCTGAAATGAATTTAAAGCATTTTCCTCCTTCAATAAAAACTGCTAATAGCATAAAATGCAAATTTCAGTCTTTATAAAGTAGATATTTTCTAGGCCAATAAGGTGTAGGAAAAAGTAGGTTCAACACGCATTCAATGAATATGTGCTTTGTAGACACCAACCTGTATAAGAATGTGGGTTTTCTGACCACAGATATCCAGAGTGCTTTCCTGTAGCTGTGGTTCTCAGCTTTTTTCATCCATAAGTGACTTTAGAGCAATGCAGAATTTAGCCCCCTTAATCCATGTGTTTTATATTCCACCTTTTCACACACACACAGACACGCACACGTGTGTGCGCACACACACGTGCACACACACACACATACACCCTAACCTCTACACAATTCCAGGTAGAAATTTTGTTGTTCACAACAAAACCCCCAGCTAACAGTGACTTAGAAAAAGCAATGTCTTTTCTGTTCTGCAAGATGAGTGCAGAGGTAAGCTATCCAAGGTCTTGTGGTGGCACCACAATGTCATCAGTGTCCCGACTTCCTCCTCTCTTTCTGTTCTTAGCACTGGTTTTTATGCTCTAAGTTACTTCATAGTCACAATATAACTGCTACAGCTCCAGTCATCAAAACCATATCCTGGGAAGGAAAGAAGGGGAAAGGGGGAGGAGCAATATGAGTACATGACACTTAAACTGTTCCTTTTGAAGA